AGACGTCAACTAGCCAATCAGTGTTCTACAGTAACCTGTCCATTCTTTTCCCGCTTGACTTGCCCCAAGATTAAGTCCCGGCTCGTTGTAGCTGATGGCCATACAGCGCTAGTTGGTAGGTCACCCCATGAAACCAAATCTGCGATACGATTGCTCCTCAATGTTACCGCAGAATCGCATAATTGGAAGCGATCGGGTTGGTGCAAATCAACGTCCCACCCAGTGAAAGCTAGATCTTCTCATGCTAATTTCGGGGTGAGGTGAGCATGGTTTTGACGTGACGGGGTAGTTAGGTTCAAAACCCCTAGAAATGGTGAAAGCAGCGTCAAAAGGTAAAACAAACCGCCACCAGTACCATAGACATTACACCTAGCTAACCACTATTAACAAAGTGCAAACATTATCATCATTGTCAGCTATAAGGACCGCGTGCTTGTCGTACACTGGTTGTAGCAACCACATTTTCGTTCACCGTCACGAAGAGACCGTAGTGTGGCAGCTTGTGTACCTCGGCGACATAGTGGGCCATACGGGGGAGTGTCCGCGCGACACTCACATACCAAGTTGGTCAATGGGTAGAGGTCTGACGGAGACAGTCTCCTGGCCCTCCAGGTCGGGGGTTGGAACATGTATGGCGACGTGTTCCGTAAAAAAATGGTAATGTACTTGCATTTCCAGCCGAACACCGCTGCCTTGCGGTTAGGCTTTTGAGCCAAAGGCTTTGGTTGAGAACCCTAATCATCCTCCTGTCTAGGTGTGGGCGCCCTGGCAGTATCCCAGCCCTCTTACAACCATGACATTCACGACTAATATATACTCTCATGCCACATCGGCCGTCGCGTGGTGCCATCAGCCGGGTCGCCTCAGTTGCTGCATACAACAGGGCGAGTAGGCGAAAACATGCTACTTCTGACGCCCCCTTCTTGCACTTTCATGTTTTCTGTCTTCCACCCTTACCCGCCCAAATTTGAATACTTTATCCACAGGTCCCAGCTCTAGGACTGACCGTTTTGCTCGCCCTGCATCACATTCGGCTGCAGCCTCTGCACGTCCGAGTTCAGTTACAACCCTAAACACTTGGAAGTCTGTTTTCAAACCCCGAAAACCTGTCTACTTAGCCACCTTCAATGTTCACATACTGAAGCAAGCGGATCAACAGGTGGCTCTTGCTCGTGCGCTGGATTCTCTTTGCATTGATGTATGTTGTCTATCAGAAACAAGGACGCAGGACGCAAGTACTGTGATCGAACTGACTGCCTCCATCGCTTTATTCCAAGTCGCGACCGCGTACGTCTGGTGGTACACGGGCCATTGCAGCTGGATATGCTGGGGTGGGCAGTGTATTGAGCGAACGAGCGGAAGCGTCCCCGCTTAATTGGATACACGTTGATAGTCACCTCTGTGCGGTTCGTTTGGCAAAACTGGTGAGAGAATCTAGAGGAAGCGAGGTTCGTCGCACCTTGTTTATTGTCTGCTTACGCCCCAACCAACTGTGGCTCTGAATCTGCCAAGGACAGTTTCTATGACGCTCTAGGTGCCCTTCTACAGCAGGCTAAAAGCTCAGATATCGTTGTGGTTGCTGGTGATATGAACGCCCAGGTAGGTAGACTAGGCGCTGCTGAGGCCCGATTGGGTGGTCGTCTTGGTTTGGACACTAGACGCACGGACAACGG